AGCCGGTCCGTGCTGGCCGTGCCGCCCTTCGCCAAGGAGCTGCACCTCCAGATCGTCTGCTCGCCCGCCTACAGCGCCCGGGGAGGGTACGACCGTGTCCTCTACAAGCACTTCAAAACACCCCGGTGAGCTGCGGCGGGACACGTGTGTTTTTTAGTGCCTAAAGGGGTACAAGAAAGCTGGAGAAGGGCTTTTGACAAGGGCCTATAGGGACAGGACAAGGGGAAATTAACCTGGCAGAAGGGAGATCGAGATGAGACATCAGGAAGAAGTTCTTCCCTGTGAGGGTGCTGAGGCCCTGGCACAGGGTGCCCAGAGAAGCTGTGGCTGCCCCATCCCTGGCAGTGTTCAAGGCCACGTTGGACACAGGGGCTTGGAGCAACCTGCTCTAGTGGAAGGTGTCCCTGCCCATGGCAGGGGGTTGGACCTGGATGAGCATTAAGGGCCCTTCCAACCCAAACCCGTCTGGGCTTCTATGAAAACTAGCTAATGCTTTAATTTTTAAAGTCTTCACTTGCAAATAATGATATGATTTTTAGCTTTGGCTACTCTACAAGCTCAGCTACATGGTCAAGAACAGGCTAGAAAATAAGGGATTCTGTGCAGAGAAGTTTATGGTATATGGGGTATGGGGCTCTTTCACTGGTGAAACTCTCTGGGTTTTTTGTAGGCTTGTCCAGGAGGAGGACATCCTGTGTGTTCCAACATTTGGCTATGCTGAGTTTCTAGAAGTAAATGCAGACAAATTCCTAAGGTACGTGGCAACAAATTGTGGATCTGTTTCATAGTACTGCAAGGTAAAAGATACTTTTCTGTTGTTGACTATTGAAACAAGACACTTCGTTCCTTTCTGATCTGTCCCTGGAGTTTAGTTTATCTGCCCTTCATTTTAGGGGAAGAAGAGAATGTTTTTATTGGATTATGGGGAGCTGCAGCTAAGAGGGAAGCCTCTGTTAGCTCACTCAAATAGTCATGGAAGGAAGAAAGGGAAAAACAGAGAAACTGATGGGAGAAAGAAATAAAGAAGGAGGAGTGGCCTGAGGATAGCCAGTGCCACTTGAAGAAAACAAAAGGGAAGAAGTTGTGCTTGTCAACCTGTGGCAAACAACAAAGTGTGAATATCGGTCTGTGCAGATTAACTGTCTGTCTGGCCACCAATTCTGCCTTTCTCAGTTTGCTCCGGTGGCTTTGCAGCAGTCCTGTACTAAATGTGTGCCAGAGTAAGACGGCTTGCGGCAGGATTTGGGTGGTGGCAATGTAAATGCTTCGGCTGAGGGAACCACTACAGGCAGCTGAGTGCTGTGATGCAAAGAACTGCCTTGAGCTGTTCCTGCAGAATACACCAGCGACTGCTCAGCTCCATTATGTGCTTTAAAATGTTCATAGCACTACAATGACTACTTCCTAGGCTCGCTCTTGGAGGGAGGCAGGACCACAGGAGGCACAACTCTTCTGTTTGTGGAAGTTTCCATTCTATATTATCCATGTGGCAAGCCAGAGAAGCCAGCAGAGCTTATTGGACCCAAAGAGCTTGGAGCCGTGTTGGTGTGCAAGTGGTACAATTATTCAGAGAATGGAGAAAACCCTGGAGGAAACCTCTGCAGATCCCTTGATCTGTCCAGTGGGATATCAATGTGTCCAGGGCAGGCTCTCATGGTATTTGGATGAGTCCCAATCTGGAGCCTCAAGGACTCTGTGCTGTTAGATTTTATACACTGCAGGTGAATATCTGTGGAGTTGTAGTGAAGCAAAGAAAAGAGAATGTCTTGAGCTCTTAGATGAAAAACAGATGTACTTGTAGACAGAAGCCACCATCAGGAGCTGTTGACAGTCCTGTTGCTCTGTTTGTCCAGAGAGCACAGCAGGGTCTGTAAAGGATCAATGTGGGTCCTGGGAGAGGGCAAGGGTATCTTTCGTACCTGAGCCTTTCAGCTGTCTTCTTGTTGACGAGGGTATTGTTCCTGCCTTCAGGATCTAGAGGCAGCAATTTAAACTGCTTGTTTTTTCTCTTAGGTGGCCAGAGCTTTACTTCAAAGTGAGGAAGATTTTAGGCATGGTGGAAGGCGAGCAGTCTGAGGGTTACCTTGTGGACACCCAGAACACCTCTCTCTATATGGTAAGGTGTCAATGGAGAGCAGGGAGATCTGAGGCTGAGGTTGCACTACGGTTGATGAAGGCGCCTTTGGAGGCTTGTGTCTCCTGCCATTGGAAAATGGCATTTCAGGACTGACTTTGTGGCTTGATACCTGTCCTTGTGCTATTTTCCCTTCTCGCAGGTGGGGTCAACAAACAGTGCTGTCCCATCTGCCCCAGCCTATAACAGCCACGAGTTCTGGAGCAGTTTGTCTCCTGCTGGACTTTCTGATGTTGTGAAGCAGCTCTGTGATGCTCTTCGGCCTCACCTGAGCAATCGGTGGGTTAGAATTCCTTCTACCAAAGCCTTGGGAGAGCTGGGACCCTGTTGGTCACTGGGAGAACTCCTTCTGTGTTACAGGGCAAGTGCACTGAGCGGGGCCAGCAGCATTCTCCTCTCAGGGCCAAGCGGTAGTGGGAAGCTGATGGCTGTCAGAGCTGTGTGTAGCTGCCTCAACCTCCACCTCTGCAAGGTAATCGCTCCTCTGGTCAGTTGGTGGGTGGATTTACAACATACAAAGAATTTGGGAAATGTTCTTTAAGTTAGCCATGCCAACACCCCTGCTGCAACCCTGACATGAGCCTACCCAGAACCTGCTCCCACGTGCACGTGCAGGCAAAAGGAGTCTGAGTGTGCTGAACTTGGCAGCTTGCTCTGGAATGGGTTAGGATTGATACTGACAGGGCTCTCTTTAACTGTCTTTTTCTATCCAAGTAAAGCCAGGACAGTGGGTCAGTGAGGGAGCTTGACCAGCTGCTGTGCAGCTCCTCTTCTGGACACGATCCTTAGAGGTGCTGAGCAGATGTGCTGTAGCTCTTGGGTTCCAGTACAAGCTTGCAGAGACTTCACAGTACCTTCAGATACATGTATAGGATGTGTTTTGGAGCCCTGTGGCACGTGGTCTCAGGTTTTAGTGTGATAAGCAAGGCTATATCTCTGGTTTTGGACTTGTATGCTGCTTTTAAAGACTAACGCTCTTAGTATTTGCTGTCTGTCTTACAGTCCTAGCCCAGCGCCCTCCCCTCCTTTTCTCACTTACAGAAATGCTTATAATATCATTCCACCTTCCCTTCCTCTGATTGTTCTGCCTGCTCTAGTACCAGTAATTCTTCCACACTGTAATGAAGATCAGCACTGTTTTGTTTTCTCTCTGCCCTTCTATACTTGCATACAGCTACTGCTGCCATTTGGCTGTGCTTGCTACAACCCTAACTCCTGTTATTTCTTACAGCGCATGGAGCACAGGAGTTCCTATGCTCTGTGCCCCCATCCTTACCCTTTAGGCCAGCTCTTGAGGTGTTCTCCATGCGCCAAGCCACCCTTTCTGAGGACGAGGCCAAGGAATCCCAGAGATGGTTTGTCTCTCCCTGCGTTGGCCTTGCAGCACCAGGGGGCAGCACTGCCTGTTTCCAGCAGTGTTCACTCTGCTGTTCAAGGCTCACCACTCACTTCTCCCTTCGGGATGATTTCAAGTGTTTGCTTTGCAAACAGCCCCTGGGCCTCTAGCCACCTCTAGCTTCCCCTCCCCTCCCTTCCAGCTTCCTTCTGCACTTTGAGTTCTTGCAGCTCTGGGTTGAACAGTGTCTCCCTCTCAGCTCTTTGCACTCTTTCTCCAAGACTCCTTTTCTCCCTGTCTTGACCTCTTCCGTGGCAATCCTGTCCCTTCCAGATTGGGTTGCTGAGCAATGACAGCCACCATATCAACTTCTTGGGTCCCTTGGCCTCACCCTTTTCAGACAAGACCTTCCTGCCCCCCTCAGGGGAATCAAACAGCCATTTTTCATTGCCAGAGAGTCCTGAATGTGTCTCTGGGAAAAACCCACTTGGATCTCCTTTCAGCTGTGAATTGCCCATGGAAAGCTTTGTGGAAGTGAACGTCGTCCTGCGTCCCCAGCTGTCTGTGTTGCAACTGCTGCAGGCTTTGTGTTGTGTGGTCTGTCTTGCAGGTCGATTGTGTTAGTTTGTGCAGTGACACCAGTGGAGCCACAGAGGAGAAAGTTCAGATGGCCTTCACCCAGGCCCAGCAGTATCAGCCGTGTGTGCTACTGCTGAAAGACAGCGAGGTGCTTGGCAGAGACCGGGACAGGCTAGGAGAGGATGCCAGGGTCATTGCCACACTGAGGCAGCTGCTCCTGGACAGAGACCCGGCACTGAGGTACAGACCCTGCGTGTTTGCTGTGGGTATCTGAGGTGACTGTTTGCTCCTGCCATTCCTAGGGCAGCAGTCACTGCTGCATCAAGGTAACTGATTGCTAACGTGCCCTGTTTTATTTTTAATCTGGTGGAGTCTTTCCCAGGTTTGCTTTGTTTACTTCAGAGGGCCCATGTTCCAGCTCAGAGGCAAAGAGAATCAGGAAACTTTGTTGTCTGAAGCTGGTTTCTGAATGCTTGTGTTGAACGAGGCATGGCAAGGGTCACAGGGACCACAGAAGGGAGCTGGACCCTGGGAGAATCTTGAGGCTGGTGACAAGTACCAGAATGCAGGGAGGGAGACATTAAGTGAAGTTATTTCTTCACTTGAATTTATTGAAGAAGTAACTTGAAGTTGTTTATTCACTTGATGTCACTTGAAGGGCCTTGACTTGTGAGTTAGAGCTCACAAAGCAGTTCCAAGGCAAGCTGGAGCAGAGTGGCTACAAGACAGCTTGACCAGGATGTATGCATTTCTTGGAGGAAAGGGTAGCCAGTGGAGCGTGGCTCGGTGTATGTGTTGGCAGTGTAAAAGGGAAGCTTCCATAGAGCTGAGGCCATGCACTGTCCCCCTTCTCTCAACAGTCACCCTGTCCTGGTGATTGGCACAACCTGCAAGCCCCAGGATGTTCCTGCAGATGTGCAGACTGCTTTCCTTCATGAGGTGAAAATCGAAGCCCCTTCAGAAGAGCAGAGGAGGTTGATGCTGAGCATGCTGACTGCCAGTCTGCCTCTGGGCAAAGAAGTGAGCCTATCCAAGCTGGCACGCAGGACTGCAGTGAGTGAAACCATGGCAGCATGTGGAGATGAGCAGGCCAGGGGTGCTGGGCCAACCTCCCCTACCTGGCCAAGGAGGAAGGAGGCAATTCTCACAGCCCAGTTGCCTTCCTCACTGGTCTGCAGACGTCCGCAAAAAGCTGGACCTTTTAGCCAGGGGACAGAAGCTCCAAGAACAGCTCTGCAAAGAATTCTTCCCCATACACCTTTTATGGCCTAGATGGAGCTGTGGTCAGGGACTGAATTAATGCTGTTTGTTTCTGCATTCACAGGGCTTTGTGCTGGGAGATTTCTGTGCCTTGTTGTCGCACAGCAGCCGGGCTGCTTGTACCCGCATCCAGGCCTTGAGGTACAACAGGCAACAGGGCAGGAGGCAGGGAAGGGCAGGGCTTGATAACGACAGGGGCAGGAAAGGGGCAGAGCCCGAGTCCTTCCCTTTTCTTTCTTGGCAGCTTTCCAGGTGGACTGAGTGAGGAAGTGGAGAGAGATTTCTGCACTGCTGGGTTCCCAGTGCTTGAGGAGGATTTCAGTGTCGCCCTGGACCAGCTGCATGATGCCCATTCCCAGGCAGTGGGAGCCCCAAAGGTAGGATGTTGGGCAGAGGAATTGGGGTTGGTTGTCCAGGGCTGTATTATAATAGAATCCCAGACTGGTTGGGGTTGGAAGGGCCGTTAAAGTTCATCGAGTTCCACCCCCCTCCCATGGGCTGGGGCCCCTTCCACTAGAGCAGGTTGCTCCAAGCCCCTGTGTCCAACGTGGCCTTGAACACTGCCAGGGATGGGGCAGCCACAGCTTCTCTGGGCAACCTGAGAAGGGAAGAATTTCTTCCTAATGGCTCATCTAAATCTCCCCTCTTTTCACTTTAAAGCCATTGCTCAAGGTACCTCTCACAGACCTCACTATCTGGTGGGGCTGTGTTCTGGCACATCACTTCCTACAGTGGCCTTGCATGTATTCCCCCAGCCTTGAGTGAGGAACAGTTCCACCGTGGACTTTCCCCCACTGGTGCTTCTCACCTTCTTTGGCTTTGCATTTGGGCAGTGGTCTCTAATTGCAGACCACTGAATTGGCTAGTGCCATAGGGGTGCAGCTGAGTAGCTGCAGGCTGACTGCCTCACTGAGGTCTCTCCAACCACTTGGCATAATGGAACACAGAAGCTGGGACACAAGCAGATGAGGAAGTTCCCTGCATGTGTGGGAAGCCTTATACTTGATCCCTGGCTTTGGCCACTGTTTGAGCTGGTGTGGGCTTTTCTGACAGCTGGGCAGTTTGAAGAGCTTCAGGGTTCTTCAGGGAAAGGGACATGGAGTGTCAGAGAAAACCAGCTTCTTGAGAGGGGTGTGATCTACCTCTGGCAGCTCAGCACCAGGTGCTGGTTTTGGGGGGACTCTTTTTGCTGGGTGACGTGGTGTTGGGATCAAGCAAAATGATTGGAGCTTCTGCCCGGTGCTCTTCAGTGTGAATGGCAGCACAGGACAGGAAACACTGGCCTTGGAGGAGTTACTCTGGTGCTTTCCCTCACTGCTCGCCTGCAGTACTGCCCTAGCAGGGTGACACCTTGCTTGTATCAGCATCCAGGAGCTACTCTGGGACTTAATTCATTCATCAGTCTACTTAGAGACTGAAACGAGCTCTGTTTTGAGGCATGTTTACAAAGTTCCCTATAAGTCAAATAGTAACCACAGAGCATGCTGGGCAGTGAGCTTTGTGTGTGTGAGCTCGTTTTGTTTGTGTTTTACAGTCCTTTATCAATTTCTGAGTAATTGGCTGTGGTTCAGAAAGGCTGTTAGCAGACCTGTATGCTCTCAACATACATAACTTGGTTCCCTGATTGCATTTCCTGGCTAGTCACATTTGTTTGCAGTTAAGAGCTTGAGCCTCCTGGAGAGAACTGATTACAAACCTCCAGTTGCAGGCAGTGGCTGCAACATGGCCTTGACTTATGATGTTCTCCTCTGAAAACAACTTTGTTGCGGTTTTCCAGCTCTTATGGTCTTTTTCTAGCAAGGCAGTAGAGTCAAGAGTGCAGGGGCAAAGGCAGCACTTCCATTCACCAGCACTGAGGAGTGAGGGCCTGTGACCTTTTGCTTTCAAAGACTTTTATTTCTGGAAATCCTTATCTTGTCCGACCTGACTTTCCTGGTGGACTTGCTGGACAGCTGGAGGAATAGCAGAGATAGCATCATCTCAAGTAGGGAAGGAGTGAGAGGCAAATTGGCTGAGGGGGAAAGAATTTTGCTCCAGCCTATTTTTAAGCTCCCCATTTGTGCTGGCGCCTGTTCCCCACCCAACCAGCAGCTGGGGGAAGTGTACTGGGGCTTTGCTTTCTCTGCACATTCCCAGGAGAGCTGCTGTGACTCCTATGGGATCTGTCATGCAGACTGTGG